ATATATGGCAATTTCCAGTGCTGGGACTGAATATAATCACTTCTTTGACTTTTGAGCATTTCTATCCATGCAAGATACTACATATATGTGTTTAGAAAGGGTATCTGGGGTATGGATTAAGGTGGGTAATAAGCCCTTATATTGAAAAGAAAATTAACATTTTTATCTGTCATGTCAAGATATACCCATGGTACTGGAGCTGAAGATCTGCCCTTCCTTTGGAGGGTGGAACATTGTTCCTTGCACTGATTCCCTCTTTGCCAAGTAGGACAATCTCCTGGTTCCTAGAGCCTGGGTGAGGGCAGTTCTTCCCCAGTGCTTGGTTTCCCACAGCGTGGCAAGCATTGCCTCTTTACAGTGCACTTTCCTCAGCCTGGTGCTTCTTCAGGGGCTGGGTTTCTAACTACCAGGGAAAACATATGACTCCCAAGGTAAGGTTGTCATATGGGCTCCTTTTAATGCCTTGCTCATATACCAACACTTGAAATTCTAAACCAAACACGGTAGGAATGCTTATAGTTTATGTCTAACAATTATGTGAACTTTTCACATCTGATTGATTCTGATAAAGACTGGTATCATAGTGGGCTGTCTCCTTCTAAAGGCAGAGGAAGAAGGAAGGATACATTCTTTCCTCTTGTCTCTGACACACCTCTCCCTGCTTCCCACCTGTGCACAGTTCAGCTGTGGTCAGCATCATCCACCTGGGGCTGAGTTCTCCCTAGAGGTGGAGCTCAGCAGCAGCAGCTTCATTTGATGGGAAGAGGCATGGTGAGGTAGTATTACCCAAGAACTCATGGTGACTGGCCTCCCCTAAATCCCCACTGCTCAGATCCAGTTCCTACAACTGGCCTTCTGCCTTTATTCAGCCCCTGTGTCCCTCAAACATTTAAGTGTAGCCAGGCCTGCTGGGGCAGGCCTTAATCTCAGCTACTAGGGAAGCTGAGGCAGGAGGATCACAAGTTCAGGGCCTGACAAGGCTACAGACTGAGCTCCCGTTTGTCCCTGGGTGTGGTGCCTAAATCCCAGCCTGCTTTGTTTGGGCAGTAAGTCGTGGTCAGTCACCTTCCACCGTTGACCAAGGCCAGACCCTCGTGCCTACAGCTCTATGAATGGGGATCTCTTCCCATCTGAGGATAGATGTGTACCCACCATGCTACTGTTTCCACTCAGCCAAGCATATGCACCCCTATGTTCCTGTTGCCACCACACAACCCACACCAGAGCCCTTCAGGACAGTGGAGGACAGCAGCCCTGCTCTGACCCAAGTGGAATCTCACCAACTACATTTGAACACTTATTTGGGACGCTCACTTTGCACCTCAGGCCTAGACTTAAAACAAACAGGTATGAATCTTGGCAATCTTTTAAGCAACTAGAGAATTGTAACGACTTCTCAATAAGTACAATTGAGCAGCCATCATTGATGGAATACATTATTTTTCTTATCAGAAGAGATTGGATCCCACAGAGAGCACCAGGAAAGTTGAATCTTCCTAAATGTCATACTGTCTCCTTTTTATTTTCTTGTGATTCTAGGGATTGAAGCTAGAGTTTTACACAAGCTAGGCAAAGACTCTAACACTGAGCTATATTCTCAGTGGTTTTTAGTGTTTGAGACACGATCTCAAAGTTGCTCAGACAAGTCTTATAGTCCACTAAGACCTTGAACATGCAATCTCCCAAGAAGCTGAGATCCCTGGCCTGCACAACCAGCCCGGCTGCACATATGTTTTTGAGGTATGCCTTGGGTGACTGAAGATCAATCATCGCTAGAACATATATAGCATGGGAGACAGAAATGAATTCTAGGAAATTGATAGATAAGTGGATGAACTAGTAGACAATGCCTAGCAGTACATGTGGCACACAATAATCTCTGTCTCTCTGTCTCTGTCTCTGTCTCTGTCTCTCTCTGCTATTCCTCCATTATAATTTAAAAATGTATAACATGGGTTGGGCATGTGATGCACACCTTTAATCCCAGCACTCAGAGTGCAGGCAAGCTGATCTCACAGAGATAGAGAAAGGCCAGTCTGGTGTTCATAGCAAGTTCCAGGCTAGCTAGGCTACAGGGAGATTCTGTTTAAAAAATAAAAACCAGCAAAAAATTTTAACATTTATAATTCAGTTAATCACATCATTGAGCATATTCCTTAAAGGAAAGAACTTCCCAATTGTTAAGACACTAATGAAAACTGAACCTCTATTTATTTAAAAGAAAATTTTGAGAGGGGCTCTTACTATGTAGCCCTGGCTGCCCACAAACTCCTCCTGCCTCAGCCTTCCAAGTGCTGGGGTAACAGATGAGCCCCCATGCCTGGCTACATGAATTGGTTTTATTGTTAATGAAAATAAGCTTTGTTATATCAAGCAATAAATACATACAAAGATGCAAAGAGTTTCAGTCATTTTCTTCCAGATGTTCTGATCAGCTTACAGCAAACGTGGAACGGACATCTACATACAGTCTCAGGGGAGAAATTTCTGAGGTGCTTTCTAGGTTGGGTAGATTGTTCTTTCTTCTATATTTAAAACTTGTGCAATTTAATTTTTCTCAATGTATATTTTTATTGAATTTTTCTACATTTCACACAAAACATCTTAATCACATCTAGACCCCTCCCCCATCCGAGCCCCCGTACCCTCACCACACAGGATTTCATGCATCTGAAAGACTGACTTCACAGCACTCAGAGTCATGCAAAGGCTTAAGCCCAAAGCTCCCTTAAGCAGGATCCACACTGTGTGGCAAGCTGGCCGGCTACTAAGTAAAAGGTGCTGTTGGTAACCACTAAAGTCTTCAGAAACTAATGAGCTCATGAGAAGGAACAAATCAGGTTGGGTGATGCAAAATGACAAATGTACTCAAAGGAAGATTAAAGGGACACAGTGGTATTTGGAGCAAACAATAGTTTGCTGAAAGTAATTTCACAGGCATCTTTTGAATCGATGCTTTAAAAAAAAAAAACTACCTGAATCATTCCTAACTACTTAAAATGCACATCTTAATTAACTGCAAAATATCTTCTCAATCTTTCAGAGTGTAGGTTCAGCATTTAGTGAAGTAAGGCAGAAAAAAACTAAACTGTTACCATTTGGGGGAAAAAAAAAAGAGAGAATTCCATCTCAACAGGAGAGATGAATTTTAACTTCCCATCTTGTACGAAGATGTGGACCTTCAGAACTCCGGAGGCTAGGACCTGGCACTGTGCTCAGTTTGAGCTGAGCACTCTGGAACCAGGCCCAGAATGTGAATGAATGATGCCTTGTTTTAATCTCTCCATGGCACCCTTGTTCCCTGCATACTTGGGTCTGATCTCTTTCCCTAAACTCTTGGAGGATGGCCTGCAGCTCTGCATTTTTTCTCTGAGGCACCTGGCTGTTCACAGTTTCCTAGGACGGTGGCCTATCATCACTCAGCAGGTGACTCTATTGGCCCTGCCTTGAGAGCCTTGGTCCAGCGCCCACTCCCATGGGTGCACCCCCACATGAGGCAAACTGGAAGCCACAACCTTTGGGCACCACTGCTAAACTGTAATTCACTATGTAGAGCAGGCTGGCCTCCATCTCATAGAGATTTGCCTGCATCTGCCTCCTGAGTGCTGGGATTAAGGGCCGCACCACCACCACCACGCCTGACTATTTGAAAAAACATTTTATCTTGAGGGCCTGGAAAGATGGCTCAGCAGTTAAGAGCACTGGCTGCTCTTGCAGAAGAGCCAGGTTTGCTTCCCAATACCCATGTTGCGCCTAACAACCATCTGTAAATTCCAGTTCTAGGGGATCCGATGCCCTCTTCTGACCTCCGAAAGCATTGCATGAATTGGGTGTACCCACATAAGTGCAGGCAATACACTCACTCATATACATAAAATAAATGTTGAAAAAAATTTACACATATTTCATATTGAATAGAGAAAGTGAGTAAACTTAAATAATCACCTTGATTTTTACAGTTTGATGTATTTTTCAAATGGAGTCTGCTTGTACAATCACTTGCCAGATGAAGTTATAAATCATCACCTGGGGAATTCACTATTCTGACTTCTAGACTCCTTGCTTGCTTTCTGAGGTAAGGCCTCACTATGTAGCACAGGGCTAGGTTGAATCATGATCCTCTACCTTCTGCCTCCCAGGTACTGGGATTATAGGGCAGCACCACCACGTGCTTGGCTCTGTTTACTATGTAAATGGAGGCAGGAAATGTTCTTTGTCTGGAATTTTCCTACTGAGACTTAGAGCATCAGGCAGTCACAACTCTTATCATGAACCATCAGTATCTTTTATAACTTACTTTATTTATTCCTATAAAGTGTTCCCACTACAAAGATGTCACACTGTATCCTTCTGTGAAAGTGGCAGAGGATACACTACTAGGCATGGTAATTCACATGTCTCTCCAATCTATAGCCCAGTTGTTTCTTTCCTGGTATTTAGTGATGTGGTTTCTACACATCAGTGGCTTAACTGTACACAAAGTGTGATCACATAAATCAGTTCTATTAAAACGTATTCAAAAAGCACCCTCCTCTTACATATGAACACCAAAGGTCACTTCAATTGCATCATTTAAAAATATGTTTTGAAAATATGTGTATGTGTGCATGTCTGTGCAGTGGTATGTGAACGTGTGTGCAGGTGACCTCAGAGGCCTGAGGCATTAGATGCTCCTGTAGCTGGAGTCACAAGTGGTTGTGAGCCAGCCAATGTGGGTGCTAGAATTGAACTCGGTTCTCTGTAACAGCCATTGCTGCAGTGCCTCCAGGTGCATCTGACAGAAGAGAATTAGGCCACAATGAGTAAAACCGGTAGCCCTAACTGACTGTGAGCAATCATCTCTTGTGAAGTTTCAGAATGACTAAATGCATATAGTAAGGGTCACTGAAAGGGTGATGGCAAGAGCGCATGCAGGTGAGGCATTCTAAAGCTTCTTTCAATCAGTTCTTGGACACTGTCTGTGCTTGAGAAGAAGATAATATATTCCAGAGACAGGCAAAGTGTCAACAAAGGTCAGTGTTTGCCTTCAAGGGTTGGCCTAACAATGTTGCTTCTGATGTTCTAGAGAACACGCAACAGTTGATGGACAGTTCTATGACATTAGGAATTATAGCCTGAGATCACGCTGTTGCCAGAGAGCCAAAGTTTTTAATCAAAAACTTGGGGCAATCTGGTTTGGAAAACAAGGAGAAAACACCCCATTCAAGTTTTCCAGGACTTGGATCCTGCCCCAACTCAGGGGGACCCTCCCGTTTCTTCCCTCTTCTGACTGCATAGCTGTGCTACCTAAGTTGGCCTCCTGTACCACAGCAATAGTTATCCCTAGGCTTACTCAGTGGTGTGGGACTCAAAACTAAGAAGGCACACCAATTCAGTGGAGAGACAGCCACTGCAGTGGGCAGGAGCTTATGTGAGACGTAGCAGCCTGGGATAGGACATCTGTACCAAGTTGTCCACAGAGTAAGACCACATCAAGAGGCAGAGCTCAGCCTGCTCCTCACCTTCAGCTGGGCAGAATTTCCTCACAAGGATCACAACAAGGAAAGCAATTATGATTAAAATGATTACTATAATGATAAATAAATTCTGTGATGAAAGTTGGGTAGTGTACAGATGCACACGCCAGGTGACATCTAGAGCCATTGATGTTGATCCTAAAACAAACAGCAAAAATCCTGAATAAACAACAATGCACCTTCATTAGCACCTGATCTCCCTGGGTAGACCACATGACACATATGTGACAACCATTTTACCAGGTCCTGGGTAGAGAGATGAATAGCAGTTGTAGGGACTGTGTCCATGTTGAGTTATTTCACTAGCAAGAGAAGCAAATATCCATGCATCTTCCATGGATCTGACATATTTACCGCAGTCAGAACTTTCTGGAAATTGGCACAATTGATGGCAACTAATTTTACCAGGAGAACATAATGTATGCTTTAGAAGTGGTGTTTTGGGACCTGGTGGGAAAAAAAGCTGGACAGTTACTGTGATGCACACATACTTGAGCACCCATTAGCAGACCACTAAGTAAATGGGCTATTGGTCAATGGGGAAGAAGAAATATTAGGAGGTGAGTACTCCTTGTGGTAATCACTGGCTCTCTAGACTGGGAAACCAACAAGAAGCCATTGACTCAGTCTACCACATTTCCCAAAGTGCCCACAGCAGACAGACACATAGAGAAGTAATCAGACCTTTAAAGACAGTTGCCACACTTCCCACCCTGTTGAAGTTGCCTTGTGATAACCTAGTTACCTTGCACTGGTTTCCAGTACTTTAAAAAGTTCCTCCAGCCAGTGACCGCAATCGTCTATGGACACCTTCTTGAGGTCCTTAACGAGTCCCTTGTCCTTCTCCCACTCCTTCATGGTACCTGTAGCTTCAGGATGACTCACTGTCCAGGTCAAGTTCATTGGGTAGAAGAAGAATATTTTCCATCGATGGTGAACTGCCAGCAAGCACCTACATGCTATCCATGTCTATGCTGACAGAACATCTTGGCCTGCAAGGTGGGATGATCTGCAAAGCACAAAAAATACCCATTATCCTCTACTATTGATAGATTCATGACCCTGAGCTTCAGAGATGGCACAGTGGTTAAGAGCACTGACTGTTCTTGAAGAAGACCCAAGTTCGCTTCTTGGCACCCGCACTGAGTGGCACTCAACTGCCTGTAACTCCAGCTTCAAGGATCTGACATCCTCTTCTGGCCTCTGCAGATATCTGGAATCATGGGAACATATGCCTCACACCCAGGTATAGTCACACTAAGAAAAATTTTAAAAAATAGTTTTTTTAAAAAAAAGCTTTACTGAATCCATGAACTCCCAAAAGGTCAAATCTTACTCCACTGGTTTAGGGGCCAATATTCATTCCTCCTTGACTTGTCCTTTCTCACCCACTAGGTACCATGTGCTTCCAGTTTGGGCAATGCCCAGATCCTATACAGCAGAGCCCCCTCACTATGTGCTCCTGTCTTGCTCTCTCTTGCTGACATGCTCAGACTCTGCAGACCTTCCCATACTTACCCCTCACACTGTGCTTCTCCAGTTGGATATGAGGTAGCCTATTCCTGATCTCTTGTCCCATGTATTCCATCCTTTGAATCAAATCTGCCCATAGGTCTGTGTTATGTATGCTCTTTCCCAAATTGCCCAACAGGTTAGCCTTTTGTCAGCATCGTACTGAAGGAAAAGGCAGTTTATCTACTGAGCTCTTTACTTTAAACCAGGGTTTTTTAGGTCCAGATTGAGTTTTCATTAGTGAAGTTGTGGTTTAAAAAGTGAATATCTGTGAGAAAAATATGCAAGTGAGGTCCAAATGACTAAAGATCTGTGACCCCTAGACTCCCTCTGAGGGGCCAGGTTGGCAGGTGCAGAAGCATTCAAGATGCCACTCCACTTCTGGATCTGTAGTCTTGTGCCATCTTTCACGGTCTTACATTAATACGATCCTCTATGGTACATCAGACTCCACAGGTACATGCAGTGTCACCAGGAGGATTCATCTGACAAGCATATTGAGTAACTTTTACCAAATATTGAAGTACAAAATATACCAGGAAGTATCTGTGCTCCTGTGACTTAAACTCTAGCTGAATAGACAGAGCTTTCATCAGAAAGGAAAAGGAGGCATCCCAGGACACATGGCACATTCCTCACGGGTCCTGGGCATTCAGGAACTGATTCCAGGAGTCATGCTAGAACCTGGCATTGAGGGGAGGTGCCACCTGTGAGCTCAGTACCTAGTCTGCTTCTTCCTGGGGTCCCTCCCAAATTGGGCATCAGGTCTGTGGGATCTTCTCCAGTTAAGTCATACCCTTAACCAATCTTCACAAACACATAACCACTGGTCTGTGTCCTGTATGAAGTCAGTGCTTGCATCTCAGCACACTTATGGCCACTGGTCTTCAGACCTCTATTAGCACCAAAGGACAACATGCAGTGCAGTGTACATGAGATGTTCTAACACTGACTGCACAGAGAAATGGACAAGATGGACAAGATGTAATGGATGTGTACATATACAAGCTCCCTTGTGTGTGTGAGCTCTGTGATGTAAAATTAAAGATTTGTGTGTGTGTGTGTGTGTGTGTGTGTGTGTGTGTGTGTGTGTGAGTGTGTATTTCATATAGAACATCCCGAACAATGTTAAAGAATGCTTTTATTGGACCAGGAATGATGGTGCACACTTTTCATCCCAGCACTCAGGAGACAGAGGCTGTGTGAGTTCAAGGTCCCAGCAGGGCCTACATAGTGAGTTCTAAGGCAGCCAGGTACACATAATGAGACTCTGTCTCAAAACAAACAACAAGGGGGCTGGAGAGATTGCTCAGTGGTTAGAGCACTGACTGTTCTTGCTGAGAACCCGGTTCCATCCCAAACACACACATGATGGCAAATAACCGTCCATAACTTCAGTTGCCGGGGAACCAATGCCATTTCTGACCTCCACAGGCATTGTATGACACAGGTGTATGTACACACATGCATGCAATACACTCATATACATAAAATAAAAATAATAAAACTATTTTTAAAACAACAACCAAACCAAAATAAAAAGAAATAAGGAAGCATTTTGTTAAAACAGTGTTCAGCAAGTATACAATATAATTACTAGAAAATAGAAAAGGAGATGTTTAAAAATGGCCTCTTCTCTGTTGTGTCTCCCCATACACCCCACTGGCATAAGCAGATTACTGGAGGCTTCCTGAGCTCCTTTCTTCTCTCCTTAACCAACTCCCTCTTCTCCTCCCGCCCCTTCTACCATCCACGTCTCCCCACCACCATTTTCTCCCACCTACTTTTCCAGTTCACACAACCCTTACACACATTTTTCATGCCAGCCTTCCACACTTGTTCCTCCTAACTGACCAAGATCCTGTCTAACTATGTGAACCCCGTGGACTGTTTGACACGAGCAGCCCCAGAACCTGCTTTGTGGTTGGGGACTAAAGGTCCACAAATCCTGTCATTGGAAAGTGGATAATAGTCAAAAGAACATCAGTAATCTTTTTAAAAATCCATTTAGGAGCTCAGGGACATGTGGTATGTTTGCTGCCTGGATACCAGAGCTAACTGAGGCATCAGCTTTTTTTTTAGTCTGTCTAAATGACTTTTTCTATGCAGTCTAGTAGTACTATTTCTCTATGCCCAGGTCTAATGTCATCTTTCACCAACCTCTCCCAGATGGAAAAGACTTCTTCTCTTCCATGTCCTAAATATCCTGTCTGCAGTAGAATACTTCCCTGTATTAAGGCAAGTGTGGTCTGACTAGTTTATTCTAGAACGAGAGATCCAAAGAACATGGCGGGACCTGGCCTTGAGGGTCCCATTCAATCATCTCCATTATAGTCTTAAGGCTACAGAGATCTTCCCAGCTCTATGTGGTAGAAGACTACACAAGGTCGTGAACACAAAGAGGAAGGGTCACTGGGAACCATTTAAAGGCTGGGTAGACCCATATCTGAACTCAGGTAGGCTACTATTAATGTCCTGTCTTCAAGCATGGGTCCCATGGGCAGGGGGAAGACTAGATACAGCAGAAACAGAATTCAGAATCCAGGGGGTTAGGGTGTTGCTCAATGGTAGAACATTTCCCTAATATTTGAAAGATCCTGGGTTTCATCCCCAGCCTCTGACACAGAAACTGTCAGATTCAGATGGAACACCCGAAAGGGGAGCCGTGAAGGGTGGGGATGTTGAGAAAAGGATTAAGAAAAAACTTCCCATGGACCTTGAACCATTGCAATAATATAGGAGATCAGTGGAGTGCTACACAGTCAGCTACGACTTGGTAGCACCAGGGCCCTGGAAGTTAGGTTAGGTTTAGCATTTGTCTAAATATCCTGTTGGTTTTATGTTAGATAGAAGGAGAAGTCCAGATAAGCCACTGCTAGAGGAGAGAATCTTTCTACACAAATATAAGGAGATCTTGCAGGAAAGGGATGGTGCTAGAAAACCTCAAGGTTGTCCCTGTCTCCACCCATAACAAATCAGACAGGAAACCATGAGGAGGAGTATGGCTGGACTACCTGTCCTGTGACTCAGGAAAGTCTGTGATACTGAGGCCTCTATGCCAGGGAAGTGTGTTGTGTGGACTTCATGGCAATACCGAACAGGAGAATCACAATATGGAATCTAGGATCCAGAAGCAAGGCTGTGCCACCCTGTGCAGAAATGTGTACCATATCCAAGTGGCTCCTGGGAGAGGGGATCATAGAGCTAATCATGCAGCATTAGGGGACCATCATGAGCTGGGGTCTTCTCCCATTAGGTCATAATATAGACAGGCCCAATAGTCTGACATGGTCCCCCAAAATGATAAATTAGAATAAGTCAGAGTACCCTAGTAGGGAAAAACCTGTGTCTTACACAGCTACCTTTCCTCCCCATGTAGTACATTTAAATACTACTTATCCTAGAGGATGTGACAGACCAGTCCTCCACTAAACTACTATCTCAATCTCAACTCAAACCTGTCCCCTTTGTGTAATGTGAACCAAGGAATCTACTGGACAGTAAAGCAGAGAGCAGTGGGACGCAAACCCCAGGACCGCCCCTGTCACCGAGTTCACCCAGGAGCCACAGGCAGGGCAAGATGCCCAGCTGACTGTGCAACATGCAGCTTTGTCATCACTTGGGGAAGTTGCCAAGGGTGATGGATGCCAATACTGGAGTACAGCGATCCCCTAAAGGGGGTCAGTAGACTAGACACAGACCAAACTCTTCCCCATTCCTTTGTTTGTTTGTTTGTTTGTTTTGGTCTTCTGATGCTGTCACAGTAAAGGGAGAACTGAGTGTTTTATGCTGAAATAGACACAGTGTGGTTGCCAGGCTGAAAATATTTAGTGCCTGCCCTTTAAGGAGAAACTGACTGCTTCCTGAAGGAACACCACTGTCTGATGCTGCATCCCAGCGGTCAGACTAGATGAGCTCAGGGTGCACAGGCAGAAGCTTCCATGTGTCCCCCACTCAGCACCACTGTCTCCCCTATGTGCCCCTCCCTCCTGCTTTAGGTTACCTGGGTGAAAAAGGGCTGGATTTGCTAGGATGTGTCCTCAGTCGGGGGCATGCAGTGGCAGCTGGTGGAAGAGAAGCTAAAGTCCTGTCAAGAGTGGGACAGTGGGGAAGGACAGGGAGAGTGGGTGAATTGGGTGGCGGTTCAAAGCATCATGTGGAAAGGGAAGCTGGCTGTGTTGGCACAAGCCTGTGATCCAGCGATTGGAAGGCTGAGGAAAGGAACGGATGGAAACCAGACTTCCACACTGTATTGAACTACAGAGTGAAAATTGCCCCAAAGAGCAAAAACAAAACAAAAACCCAAATCTCCGTGTGTGTGTGTGTGTGTGTGTGTGTGTGTGTGTGTGTGTGTTAGACATTCCTGTCTTCCATCTTGCCCTCCCGTCCTCTAGTCCCTGTCCTGGCCTCTACAGTACCTTATTTCTGTTATTCCTCTGCCAGCCAGGTTCTGGAAAGAGATGGGGTGAGATAAAGAACAAGCTGGAGATCATGAATCATCTCAAAGGAACTGGCAGGGGGGATGGGCAGGTGAGGAGGACAGAGGAGCAGTCCTCCAAAGGACAGTTCCTCTTGCTTGCCCCCACCTCCACCACACTTAGATGCCAGGACTCACAGGCCAGCATTGCACACAGACAACCCGGCAGCACCACAAGGAGCAAAGGTAAGGTGCAAGGGAGCTTCGTGGCTGCAGCCTCTGCCATGGGATCCTTTCTCCAAACCTGGCAGATGAGCTTTGAAGAGAGAAGAGACTGTTACTCCAAGTTTATGAAAGTTCCCAAACCCAGGCTATGAATTCATGCAGCTCTCTCTTGTCTTGCCTTCCCCATTCATGTTTCCAAATCCTTTCCTAGCTGTCTTCAGGGTCACACCAGAGTCCCCCTTGGCTCTTATCTCTAGTACCTGCCGGCAGCAGGCAGCGATGGCTCTGCTTCTCTGTCTGATGCAGGGCCCCAGAGACAGAAACTGAGCAGCCTGGGCTCTGCATGGCCCTTTTTAACCCTAGGCAGCAAAAGCAGGACAGAAAGGGAAGCTGCAGTCAGAGGGGGCAACCAGCAGACTTCCAGCCAGTTACTCACACAGCTAGTGGAGCCTGGAGGCTGGGGAGCCTCCTGTGGGTGGGGAAGGAGTGGGCTGGGGCAGGAAGTGCAAGTATTTCAGCATTCTCCCAGGGAAGACTGGGCTGCCTTTCACCTTCCCAACTTCCCCACTTCTGTGCTCCAATGTGCCTCCCCACCTCAGCACCGTCTGAGGGCAGATTTGTCCTTTTTCTTATTTTCCTTCTACTTTTTTTCAAAAAAATCTTAGAATATCATATCAGGGCCAAATATAGTTTGGAATCGATGTGGTTAGGGAAGTTCTAATCAGAGCATTTTCTGTAGTTGAAAAGTTTCGGTTATCAAGCAGGAAATGTCTAACTTTGCTTCCACCTCCTATTTTCTCTGTTTCATACTTTGTAAGAAGCTCCTGTGTGTGTGTGTGTGTGTGTGTGTGTGTGTGTGTGTGTGTGTCTGTGCCTGTGGAGGCCAGAGGTTAACGTCGGGTCTTACTCCTCACATGCCTCTCCTTGGTCTGGAATGTGCCAAGAAGGATGAGCTGATGGCCAGGGAGTAGACCCCTGGTGTCTCCCATCCCCACCTCCCTAGCACTCACAAGTCCATGTTTGTACATGGACTTGGGCATGGAACTCGGGTCTTCATGTTTGCAAGGCAGCCTCTTTTACTACCTGAGCCATCTCCCCAGCCTGAGGCTTCCTTTTTTAAGATGTCATTTTCAGTGACTATCACAGTGTGGAACCCATCCATGCATTCCTGCATCCATCCAGCCACCACTTAAATACCACTTAAACAGCTTCAAACCCAAGTTGCAGGCTGGCATGATGATGAGAGAGAGGGAAATATCTCCTTCCTGTGCATCTGAGAAGACTCGGGGTCTGGTGGGCACTCCTGTGATCTTCTCATCCCCAGTCAGTGATTTCCCGCATCACCAACGGGCTCCACCAGAGAGCTTCCAACAAAATTCAGGGTCCCAGCTCTCTTGAATGAAACTCAGGCCTGTGAAGTCACAGAAGGCCAGACTACTTACAGAATTGATGTAGGGAAAGCTTATAAAACCTGCAAGTCACATCTATAGCCCATACTCAGTAAAATCAGCTCTGGAGCTGAGTCCGTGAGCATTTGGAGGCTGGTGTGAGTGTGGCAGCCAGAAGAAGGACAGGAGTGCCCAGGTGTGCCCAGGCCCGTCCTGCTCTCACCTGGCCGTCCTTCCTCGTCCTGCTCTCACCTGGCCGTCCTTCCTCGTCCTGCTCTCACCTGGCCGTCCTTCCTCGTCCTGCTCTCACCTGGCTGTCCTTCCTCGTCCTGCTCTCACCTGGCCGTCCTTTCTCTGTCTCTAATGTCTTCTTCTGCCCTCCTCCTGTTCTCCCAGGCACCTGCCCACTTCACCAGGCCGCATGGGTTTGGGCTGCCAGGCCTCCCTGTCAGCGGCAGCCTGGGGGAGACACTGCCTCCCACTGCCACTGGCTGCAGCCTCCAGATTCTCCTCATCCTTTGGAGACTTCTGCTCAGCTAGACCAGATTCTTGACTTGACTGCAGAAAGGAATTTCAGGAAGAGCCAGACTGAAGCAGAGCTGGAGTTTATGAAAGGAGATTTTAAGTATGACGGTTTAGAGACAGGCACTTGGGGAGAATGTTAACCCTAGGCGTGGGTGTGATCTTCTTAAAGCAGACTTCCAAGTATTTTATAGTAGTCATGTGTGCTGTTTATGGTGGTTTCTGAGGTTACATCTCAGAGGATGACTAAGGAAGCTTTTCTTTTTTCTTTTTCTCTCTCGTTTTTTTAAATCCTTTTGCGACAGGGACTCCCTGTAGCCCCAGGCTGGCCTTGAACTCACAGAGATCCTCCTGCCTCTACTTCCCAAGTTCTGGGATTAAAGGCATGTACTACCACTCCCAGTGAACCTTTTCTTTTTTGATAAATGAATTCATATTGTGGTTCCTGAGGTGCCTTGGATGAAGTCGCAGATGATAAACTCCTCCTAGGTCAAAAGAGGGGCATGGGTAGTTAAGATGTGTTTGCTTAACAAAAGATTTAACCTTGTTGGTATGATTGGGGGGGGGAGAGAGAGAGAGAGAGAGAGAGAGAGACTGTTGTGGCCACGTGTACTGCTAGGCATCTTCCACCAGCTCATCCTCTTATCCATCAGCTCCCTAAACTTAGAATTCATTTCTGTCTCCCCAGCTGTGTATGTCCTCACGATGATTAATCTTCGATCACCGAAGGCATACCTCAAAAGCTTATGTGCAGCAGGGCTGGGTATGTAGGCCAGGAATCTCAGCTTCTTAGGAGACTGAGGCAGGAAGACTACAGTTCAAGGCCTTAGTGGATTATGAAATACATATAAGACTTGTCCGAGCAACTTTGAGATTTTGGCTCAAAAATTAAAAACAGCTGAGACTGTAGCTCAGTGTTATAGTATTTGCCTAACTTGTGCAAAACCCTAAGTTCTATCCCCAGGACCTCAAAAAAATAAAATGAAGATTTAGTAAGGCATTTAGAAAGATTGGCCTTTCCTGGTGCTCTCTTCTGATGAGAAAAATAACCTATTTCATCAATAATGGCTGCTCAGTTGTACTTATTAAGATGTCATTATGCTTTTCAAGTTGCTTAAAAGATTACCAAGATTCATACTTGTTTTGTTTAAGTTTAGTGTTTAAATGTAGTTGGTGAGATTCCACTTGGGTCAGAGAGGGTCACTGTCCTCCACTGTCCCCACAAGCTCTGCTGTGGGTTGTGTGGTGGCAACTGGAACATAGGGGCCCATATGCTTGGCCTGAGCGGAGACAGTAGCACGGTGGGTACACATCTATCCGCAGATGGAAGAGATCCACACTCTAGAGCTGCAGGCACAGGAGTCTGGCCTTGGTCAATGGTGGAAGGTGACTGACCACGACTTACTTCCCAAACAAAGCAGGCTGGGATTTAGGCACCACACCCAGGGACAAACGGGAGCTCAGTCTGTAGCCTTGTCAGGCCCTAAACTTGTGATCCTCCTGCCTCAGCTTCCCTAGTAGCTGAGATTAAGGCCTGCCCCAGCAGGCCTGGCTACACTTAAATATTTGAGGGACACAGGGGCTGAATAAAGGCAGAAAGCCAGTTGTAGGAACTGGATCTGAGCAGTGGGGATTTAGGGGAGGCCAGTCACCATGAGTTCTTGGGTAATACTGCCTCACCATGCCTCTTCCCATCAATTGAAGCTGCTGCTGCTGAGCTCCACCTCTAGGGAGAACTCAGCCCCAGGTGGATGATGCTGACCACAGCTGAACAGTGCACAGGTGGGAAGCAGGGAGAGGTGTGTCAGAGACAAGAGGAAAGACAATGTGTCCTTCCTTCTTCCTCTGCCTTTAGAAGGAGACAGCCCACTCTGATACCAGTCTTTATCAGAATCAATCAGATGTGGAAAGTTCACATAATTGTTAGACATAAACTATAAGCATGCCTACCATGTTTGGTTTAGAATTTCAAGTGTTGGTATATGAGCAAGGCATTAAAAGGAGCCCATATGACAACCTTACCTTGGGAGTCATATGTTTTCCCTGGTAGTTAGAAACCCAGCCCCTGAAGAAGCACCAGGCTGAGGAAAGTGCACTGTAAAGAGGCAATGCTTGCCACGCTGTGGGAAACCAAGCACTGGGGAAGAACTGCCCTCACCCAGGCTCTAGGAACCAGGAGATTGTCCTACTTGGCAAAGAGGGAATCAGTACAAGGAACAATGTTCCACCCTCCAAAGGAAGGGCAGATCTTCAGCTCCAGTGATGGCTATCCTTAAAGACTGGTACTTCCCAGGGAGCCCTGGTAAAAGTCAAACTCAATTCAAATAACTATTGAGGCACCTCGGGTGTATGGCTGATAATAATGTTAATTTTTTTTCAATATAAGGGTTTTATTATGTGCCTTAATCAATATCCCAAGACCCCTTTCTAAACACATTTGTGCAGTATCTACCATGGATAGAAATGCTAAAAGTCAAAGAAGTAATTATATTCCAGCATTTGGAATTGCTGTATACATGGCCTAATGACAAAGCATAACATTGGGAATCATTACCTAAAGGTCCCAGTCAGACTGTAGACGGTGCATAACTAGCATGCTATAAACTATAACAGCTTGCAGTAATGCTCTGAGGCTATAGACATGGCTTTGACACCCATGTCTCAGAATTCAATCTGAGCCCATTTTATACAGAAACTGAAAAGAATGAGCTCCTCAAAGAGGATGTAGACGGACTGAACTCCTTTAATCAATGGAATCCTGCCACGAGTGTGTTGTTCCAGAGACAAAGACAGACCCCTGTTTATGTCTTTCCACAAGGTCAGAATTCTTTTTTTTTTTTTTTTTTAATCCTGGAAATCCCTCGCAGACTATCAGTGGGTGACTCTTAGTTGATTCCAGAGCAAATCAAGGTGGCAATCAATATTAGTCATTACATATGCATATACTAGTTTCATTGGGTTTTTGTTTAGCTTATTGAGGCAGGGTTTCAGATAGCCCATTCATTAAAGTAGTTCAATGAACAAATGGGCCATTAGCAACACAACTGCAAATATTCAAAACAATTTTGACACAAATAATCCATTTTGTGGTAGAGATAAACTTCTGGGGGCTGGAGAGATGACTCAGCAGTTAAGGGCACTGGCTGCTTTTGCAGAGGACCAGGATTGGTTCCCAGCACCACCTGCATGTAGCTATAACACTCATACACATAAAGTAAAAATAAATGAATAATAAAAAAATCAAATTCATCACCCCTGCCAAGGACTCATGAGCAGAGACTAAGCTGGCTCTACTAACCACAGGTCTGGCTTGCACTGCATTATAATCTACTGCTCAGGTAGACGCCTAACTCAGCTACTGGAAAGGAGTGCAACCTCCGAACCCTGCAGTTCAGAGGCTGGAGGGATGAGAAGTCAAGTTCCCTACAGCAGGAAGGGCCTCGTCACATAAGAAATTGGCTAGTAAAAAGTAATTAACTTAAGCTGGGCATGGTGGCGCACGCCTTTAATCCCAGCACTTGGGAGGCAGAGGCAGGTGGACCTCTGTGAGTTCAAGGCCAGCCTGGTCTACATAGTGGGTTCCAGGACAGCTGGGGCTACAAGGAGACCGTCTCAAAAAGACAAAAAATAGTAATTAACTAATTAATCAATTAATTAAAGCAACAAAAATATAGAAACTAATCTCAGATCATACATCTATGATTATTCATATAAAAAGCCGACTGTATAATTATACCATGAAACTATTTCAGTGACCAAAGGAAAAGAAGTCTAGGGAAAATGTTAGATCTGGGGGAAAAAGATAAGGGACAGTCTAAGGAAAAAAAAAAAAAAAGCATGTTCTAAAAGGGATTTTCCTCTGAGGATCCATAGAACCTATAGATGAGGGGGTTAGATAACAACATTAGCCTCAGGGAGGCAGCATTATACCAGGAATCATGAGTCCAAGGACAGGGGTAAAAGTATTTACTAGACCAGACTTGGCATAAAGTTTTAACAAAGAATATGCACTGTGAACAAAACACAGCAGGTAAATTCTCAGAGAGACTCACGCTGCTGAGAGAGAAATGATGTCCGTTCAGAGCAGTTAGGAGAAGTTTCTTGGCCTTATTCCATGGGCCACTTGTGTGAGGTTGAATTTGAGTAGGTAAGATATGGAAAGTGCTCTATCATGTTAGGCAGAAATTGCATGACATCCTTGGTCCTTCCTGAGACTGGATATTCCAGGTGAAACACTAGGACTCATTAGGAATCAAGCTTTAATTGTTTATATAAAACATCTCAAGTCACTAAGGATGACACTCTGGTAGAACTTTATTTTTTAATATTATTATTTTAAATTATATTTTCCTGTAGTGCTTTTTAGACGACATGGGTGTGAAAATTAACCTCGTTATGTTATGAGTAGGTGAGGCTCCTTAGGAGTTACTTTCAAAGACACTGCAGACTTCAGAAGCTCCTTGTCTACTTTAGGTTTCCTCCTCTAGTGTCCTTTGCTGGGCTGGATCATGGTCTGCTGACCTAGTTAGCTTCCCTTGAATGTGGTCTCCCCAAAATTGCCAACTTACTTAAAATGTTATGAGATTTAGGGGATGTTTAAAACCCCATTGTGCATTCTTGAGCCTGAGCTTTGTAGATGGCAATGCTTGTGTCAGGGTATCAAAAGGTTGGTCATGCTTGATGGATAAATCTTGACAAAGACAGATTTTTTTAAAAAATAATAAATTCATGGGGTTGGGGATTTAGCTCAGTGGTAGAGCCCTTGCCTAGCAAGCGTAAGGCCCTGGGATTGGTCCTCAGCTCCGAAAAAAATAAAATAAAGCCACTCTAACAAGAGTGGTTTATAAGAAATTAAAGACCCCCCCAAAGAAAGAAAGAAATTAAAGACCCAACAAAAGCAGTAGAAATTATAAGCAATTTTCTTGACAAAACATAAAATTGTTGTTCATTAAGCAAGTTTATTGTTTTTCAGCCCAAGTCTCTATGGACATTCTTTAACTTTCTAGCTTTGTCTTGATCTCTCTATAATTTTTTTTTTTTTTTTTTTTTGGTCTTTTTGAGAGAGCATCTCCCTGTAGCCTCAGCTAGCTTGGAACTCACTATGTAGACCAGGCTGGCCTTGGACTCACAAAGATCTGCCTGCCTCTGTGTCCTAGTTTGTTTCTTCATTGTTGTGACAAAACACTCTGATCACTACCAACTTGAGGAGGAAAGGGTTTATTTGTCTTACATCTCCCAGGTCGCAGTTCATCAGGGAGCCCAAGGTAGGAACTCAGGGCAGGAACCTGGAGGCAGGAGCTGGAGCACAGGCCATGGAGGAATGCTGGCTTGCTCCCTTGGCCCCTGCTCAGCCTGCTTTCTTATGCAACACAGGCCCACCTGCCCAGGGGTGGCACCACCCACAGTGGGCTGGGCCCTCCCACATCAAGCATCAGGAAGATGCCCTTCGGACTTGACCACAGGCCAGTCCAATAGAGGCAATTCCCTGATTGAGGCTCCCTCAACCCAGGTGTGTCAAGTTGACACTAAAGCTATACAGCACACTCTGCCTCCTGAGTGCTGGGATTAAAGGCATGCTCTACTTTGCCCAGCTCTTTCTCTATAATTTTAACACTCCTTTACTTTAGGAAAAAACTAATGTACCATACAAAATCTTTTCTTATCCAAAAACCATTTCCTTTTTTATCAGAAATGTTTTTTATACCTAAAACATTCTGTATCTCTATCTCACACTTGTGGGTTCTTTCTTTTTTAAAATTCTTGATGTAATTTACACTTTTCTCTTAAAGACATGGGCCACATCTGATCACTTTTTGTCCTTTCAAAAATAGATGTAGCTGGAAATGGTATTAAAGCTTAGATTTTTATCAGTTTAATCATTTCAACATTGAACTAAAATGAGTGACTCTATACAAAGTTCAGTTGGTATAAGGTCAAATTTAACATAAAACTTTGTTAGATTTGTTTACATCTTACGAACTAAATGGAATTAGGTATAAGCTTATATATTTTCTTATTTACTTACAGGCCAATTTGAATTAAACCCTTCTTGGGGAACATTACATACATCTGTATGTGTACATACATCATATATACCACAAAATATATCTAAGGTAGATAATACATATGTATCACAGCATAGACATGGTGTAAAAACTGAACACAGTGTAAAAAACTGTAAATACTTGAAAACAACTATCAGCAACCTAACAAGACACTCAAAAAATATGTGGCATAATTACATTTATTTTGAGTGTTTCTTCAGTAGAAACATTCAAGTCCCCCAGACAGAGAGTTTCACCTAAACAGTGAGAGGAGACAGCCTTTTACTGTTCTGAGTTCCCTGTAGGAGTCCAAGCAAGCCTGTGAGGGAGGGTGGGGAGTCTCTCAGACTCAACAAGTAGAGGATCTTTCAGTCTAGCTTGTTACCACACAGGACAGCAACATGCATTGAAGTTGTTTAAATGGTATCTAGTAGATGGTTGGAAAGATGCATGAATCACTCACTGGATGAACCCTTCAGTTGTGAAATACAGAGAGGAACTCTTCAATGAAAAGAAGGAACATCAGGCTGAAAAGCAGCTCAGTGAGTGAAGTGTTTGCCTTGCAAGCATGAGAACCTGAGTTTGATCCCCAAAAACCAGGTTACAAAGAAGCTGGGGTGGCAGAGCATGCCTGTATTTCCAGAGCAACAGGGGATGGAGGGTGACAGCTGGCAGACCTGGGGGGAGGGGGGAAGAAGGGGAAAAACTGGGGGGGGGGCTTTCCTGAGGCCATTTTGACACCTGAACTTGACCTCCTGCATCCACATTCACCCACACAGCACACAGAGGAGCAAGCACACTCACAAACACATATTCACGGTGGGAGAGGGAGAGGGAGAGGGAGAGGGAGAGGGAGAGGGTTTCTGAATGCCTTAGGCTCTGCCTCCACAGAGGTTACTAGAAGAGCACAGCATTGCTCACAACTCTCTTCAAGATCTCGATTTCAGGTGTGGACTGATGGCACAGCGTCCTCTTGCAGAGGACCCAGGTTCGGTTCACAGCACCCACATATCTCCTAATAGTCATTCATAACTCCAGTTCCAGGGGATCCAACGCCTTCTTCTGACTTGCCTTAGGCTCTGCCTCCACAGAGGTTACTAGAAGAGCACAGCATTGCTCACAACTCTCTTCAAGATCTCGATTTCAGGTGTGGACTGATGGCACAGCGTCCTCTTGCAGAGGACCCAGGTTCGGTTCACAGCACCCACATATCTCCTAATAGTCATTCATAACTCCAGTTCCAGGGGATCCAACGCCTTCTTCTGACTTCTATGGGCAGTGGAAAACGTAGGTACACTTAAACACATGCTGGTAATACACATATAAAATAAAAAGAAAAGATAAAAATTTTTTTTTAAAAAAAAAAAGAACTTGATTTCAGAGGGAACAGTATTGCGGACCCAATGCCTTCGTTTTAGTTTTTTGTTTTAAAGAAAAAAAACAAGAAGACACCTTTGAAGGCAGTGAATATAGATGAGAAAACCAGAGGACTGGAGGCAGGAGTGTGACATCACTGTACGTAAAAGAGGCGGGCCGGAGGACGTGGACGGGGCGAGGGTGGATGCCAATACAAATCCACGTGCAACCGACCAGCCCCGATTCTTTCCTTTCAGGCCCGGGCCAGAATCCTATACATTTGATTCTGCTTCTACCGCCGGGGGACCACGAGAGAGCGTCCGGTGAGTGCTGGGGAGGACCTGGGGCTAGGAGGGCTCGGATTGCGCGGGCCACTCAGCTCCTGCACCCGGTGCGTGGGCGGGAAAGAGGAATCATCGGCCGGCACCGCAGGGACCGCAGCAAGTGGGGATCAGAGCTACGGGGCCCAGAGTGAACTCGAAGGGGTCTAGGAAAAGAGACCAGAACTGGGAACCGGGATGTCAGGACATCGAGGAACTGCATGAATTCACGCCCGGGTTTCTGAAACTTCTGTGACCCTGGCATCTGCAGTGACCTAGGCTGTCCTCCGTCTTGATAGCTCACTTCAGACCTGTGACTGCAGGGTGTGGAGAAAGGAAGGATGGTGCCAGCGGCAGCCACCCAGATCTTCCCTATCGCCCTGGCTTGGTTCCTGTTGGTCCTCCTAGGCGGTCGGTGCCTGGCGCTGCGGGCAGGTGAGTTCCGGGGACTTAACTATGGTGTGTTTTGGGGGGCGAGAGCGGACTGGGCCACCCAGTGCAGTCAAAACCCGCCCGCTGGGGGCTGCGTCTGGCCCAGGGCCCTCCTCCGCCTCCGCCTGCCGCCTAGGCTCCCCATAGCAAAGTTCACGCCCTAGGAGTTCATTCTGTCATCTTCCCTGCCTGGCCTGCGCATGAGCAGAAAAGTGACCACTAAGTTATGGCGATGGGTGGGAGGGCAAATGGCAGAAGGGAATTTGTCACATCCCAGCCCCAATAAGGTCTTCAGGAAGCCTAAAGGCAGCCACAGGACTCAGGGCACAGGGTGTGGCACCCTGGCGGCCAGAACTGACAGTTTCTTGAGATCCCTTGCCTGGTCTGCCCTACAGGCTACCTTCCCCACACCTCACAAGCCCTCTGACTTTCTCTGGTCTGTTTGTTCTTGGGTTTTTTTTTTTCCCTCTCCATCTTCCAGCACATCGTAATGCATGTACCACGGGGCACCACCTGTGCACTTCCTTCCTAGTTTTATTTATTTATTTATTTATTTATTTATTTATTTATTTATTATTGTGGTAGGTTCCAATCAAGTAGTTCAAGCGGTCCTGGAACCCACTGTGTAAACCCAGGCTGGTCTCAAATTTGCAGTAACCCCCTTCCTCAGCCTCTCACAGGCTGGGGATTACAGACTTGGGTCACCAAACCCAACTTCATCTCTTATTTGATTTATTGAACCCATCAATTCCCAGCACATCTCCCCACCCTGCACATCAGTCCCTTCCCCACCAGCCAACCGAGGAAGCAGCTGTAACCCCTCCCTCCATCACTTGGTGCTGTGTGCCCCTGTCTGAGAACAGACCCCAGCAAACCGATCCCCTCTCACCCACAGAACCTAAGCTAGGGTGATGGGGCACCATTTCTACTACATAAGACACAAGCAGAGGTGCTTGGTAAGGCTTATGGAAGCTTCTGCCCTCCCTCCTAGGCCATCTGCTCTACCTCTTGAAGAGACAGCATCACATAATAGTGTTCATTTAGGAGGGAGACAGTTTTTATTCTAAAGGGTAGGCACGAAACATTTTCAATCCAGTAAGCCACGCCATATCTGTCTCTGCATCAATTCTGCCCTTAGTATGTATCACAGCAACAGAAGATAATGTGCAAATGGATGGAAAACTAGTTTGACCTCTGTCCTAGTCTCCTGACCCCAGATTAGGGTACATCCAGTGTCTCAGTCTTGGTGCGCATCCCCCAGGGCAACTTCCCCAAGCGATGCCAAAGCTGCCTGTTTCAGTCAGCAGTGGGTCTGTGCTGCCTGTGGCTTCTGGATGAATTGGAAGTGATAGGAGGAGGTCCTGGGGTTTGAGGTACACTGCTCTCTCCTATGCTGTCCAGTGGGTTCCCTGGTTCACATGGCTCATAGAGGACAGATACGGGTTGAGGGTGAGATGGCAGCTGAAGGGGAGGACTAACCTGAGGCTTTCCTCGAGATAACGTTTTAAATGTTCTATCTGGAGAACAAGGCTGACTGTTTCAGGCAAAGGTTTTCCCCCATTAGGATAGCTCTGGCCCTACAAGTGACTCGCTGGGGATTTTGTCTGACTATTGAACATGTCTACCTCATGACCTTATAGAGGTAGAATCTAGCTCATGGTAGGCCCCCTGAGACTTCATGGTCACTGGTATCCCAGAACCAGAGGGCACCTCTCTCCCAGGGCCCAGTACTATGCCAGGAACCACTTTGAAATTGTATATCTTCCTCTGCTACTGTGGCACAGGCTTGCTTCTAGACACTAGGGGTCCATATTGTGATTCCAATTAGGAACAGTCGTGAACTACACATAGCACCTTTCCCTGGCTCAGAAGCCTCAGTATCAGATTGTCCTGAGTGAAGGTTCTAGTGAAGGCTCATTCATTCATCATTCACACCTATTGTCCACGGGATCTTTAAGATACAAGAGCAGAGTTCATCACCATGTGCTTTTGAATTCTAGTATTTTAAAATATTTTATTTATTATTTTTATTTTATGTGTATGAGTGTTATGCCTGCATGTAAGTAAGTGCACCCATGTCGTGCAATGCCCATGGAGGACAGAAGAGGCTGTCAGATCCCCTGGAACTGGAGTTGCGGACAGTTGTTAGCTGCCATGTGGGTGCTGGGATTCAAACCCGGGTCTTCTGCAAGAACAGTCAGTGTTCTTAACCGCTGAGCCATCTCTCTCCAGCCTGAAGGCTGGTATTTATACCTAGTCATTCATGGCAGAATCTAGGGGCCATATTACTATCTAGGAGGAAAATGAATCAGAAAGAATAGCCACACTTGCTGCTGGTTTGAACAGTCCCTCCCTGTTGGAATCTGGTCTCTCGTCCTAGAAATGGACTCTGGTTCTGTCTGAGAGGTTTTAGTTGAGAAAACTGGGCCCAGGAGACCAGCTTTACATGGGATGATAGCTTTCAGCCTCCTGATCATACATCCTTGTTTTTAGTCTTTACTGATTAAAATCCATCAACATCTGGGTTTGTTGACCATGTATTTGTCAAGATGAGTTCTATCACCTTGACCCCACCATTCTGGGGGTCACACTATAGACTGCATCCACATGATTAATCGTAAGTACCATTGTCCCTCTATGCTGTTGACTGCTGACCACTCTACCTAGGTCTATTATGTCAAGATTTTTCAGCCTCATATTTGCTGGCATCCCATTTCAAGAAAGCCAACTGCTATCACCAGCCCTGGCCTTACACACTTGTCATCACTGAAATTCTGACAAGACTGATATCCTAATCCATAGGCATTCTTTATATGCTTGGTAAACTGGAGTCCTCCTGCTTTTCCACGGACTGGACATTCGTCTGGACTTCTGTATTACATCCCCTTTGACATACTGGACTTTTCTAAGGTTCCTACCAGCTTTAGAAATTCTAGATTCTCTATTAAATACATGTATGGGCCTACGTCTGACCACTTTCCTGCAAACCATTCCTATTACACACAAACATTGTCTCCAGAAAACTCCTGATTTCTATAAGTCCTGTGTTTCCAGGGGATGAGGAGACAGCTCAGTGGCACAGCACCTGTCTCACAATCATGAGGATCTGAGTCTCAGCCCCAGAGCCCATGTCAAAAAAGCCAGGCATGGTTGTATGTGCTTTTACTTCTAGCGCTGGAAAGCAGGGACAAGAGGAACCCTGGGATCACTGACCAACAAGTCTAGCCTACTTGGTGGATTCCAGGCATATGAGAAACTCTGTTCAAGAAGAGTGGGCAGTATACCTGGGGAACAACACTCAAAGTTGTCCTCTAGCCTTCATCTACACACAAATGCTTTAACATAAAAAGTCCTCTGTATCTGGGGATGCTGAGCCCCAAGAAGACAGACGCTCATCTTACTGAAATTGCCCCACTCCCAGGCCAGGTCTCTCATTATAGCTGTTCCCACAAATCACTGTTCAATAGTCAAGGTAGCCATAAAACTAAATGCCTAAGGGTTCTGCTTAATAAGCAGTTAAAACCAAATAATAAATAATAATGACCTAACAGTTTGGTAGCCTTTTGAGAAAATGATGCATGTAAGTAGAAAGAAAAAATCATAAATTAACATTCACATGAAGGTGGACACCTTGAATCCCAGCACTTGGGAAGCAGCAGCAGGTAGAGCTCTGTGAGTTCAAGGGCAGCCTGGTCTATAACTTAGGTTCCAGGACATCCAGGGGTACAGAGTGAAACTCTGTCTCAAAAAAAATTGCCTTCAGTTCCTACTTTGAAACATATTTGAGGAGCGATGGGGCAAGGTTTGCTTATGGAGCCCAGGCTGGCCTGTAACTCCCTTGTGTAAACCAGACTCACCTGGGAGTTGCTGGGATTCTCCTGTCTCAAGCCTCCTAGTGCTGAGTTGAAGGTGTGTGCCCCAGGTCAGTTTCAGATTATAGGCAGGTGCTAGTGAAGGCCAGAAGGTGTCAGACTCCCTGGAGCTGGAGTTACAGGGAGCTGTGAGCCCTCTGATGGGAACCAAACTCCTGGCCTCTGCAAGAGCAGTACACATTCTTTTTTTCTGATCTGATAGAATATTTATTTTCCCATTATAGGACAGTCATGGGGGACTTGTTCTGAGGTATGTGTTTTTTGTTTTTTGTTTTTAATGTGCATGAGCATTTTATCTGCATGTATATAAGTGTACCACATGCATGCAGTGCCTGCGGGGGCCAGAAGAGGGCATTGGGTTCCCTGGAACTGAAATTATAGATAGTTGTGAGCCACCAGGTGGGTGCTGGGAACAGAACCTGGGAACAGCCAGTACTCTTAACCACTGAGCCATTGCTCCAGCCCCTAAGGTATGTTTTTGAACTATGAAAGACATCTGTTTTCTAAAAGCTCTACATTTCAAGGTTTTGCTTTAGGTGATAACATCTCATGACTAGACAGTCCCTGCAGGTACCAGATTTCCTGTTGTATCCAATTGCATATATTTACAAAGGACACTCTGCATAGTCTCTGAACTGACTAAGCATATATATGTCCAACATGCCCACCATGCCTAAAATTGGGATGCCATGTAAATCCGTTGTTAAACTGAGCTAATTTTTTGTCCTTGCTTAAGTCCACTTTTTCATCTGATTTGGATTCCTCAGGACAGCTAGAAACAGGTGTTCCCATGTTAATGGGCAAAATGCACATGGGAGGAGGAGTTTTTGACAGCCAGGGAAACTTGAAACTTTTGTTGGCAAACCACCAAGAACAGCGAACACTCTTAACTGCTGAGCCGTGTCTCCAATCCTGAAAAATGTCTTAGTAATTTCCTTACCTCCCTCTCAACATCTGACCTTTGTTGTATGAGGAGCTAGGGATTAAACCTAGGACCTTGCAAACACTAGGCCAGTGCTCAACCACTGAACAACCTGCTCACCCACTGAACAACCTGCTCACCCACCACATCTGTATTCTGACTTCTGCTTCTACTATATCTCGTCTTCCCCCTTCCCAAAGGGGCAATCCTGTGATGCCAAGACATTGACATTAACATTTCCAACATAAAGACTGGTACTGGCCATCCTTTAAACAGCTTCCACTGACGCTTCCTTCCCTCTTGGTGTTCATGTCCTCATATGGTCTCCTAACACAGGATACTGGGATGACCTGTGTAGTCTTTAGAATACAATAGAGATGCTGGAATGTGACTCCTAAGGCTAGGTTTTAAAGATACACCATGGTCCTTGGATCTCTCATTCTGGGAGATGCCAGCCAGACTACACCCACCCGTAACACAGGGAGGTGTTCTGCTGCAGACAGACATGGAAGAAAAGTCTGTTACATAAGTGGGTGGACCATGGGCCCCTGAAGGCAGGGGAGCATAGTGAGGAAGAGAGTCAAGAGATACCCTGGGAAATGGGAAATGGGGAGAAACATCATGGGAAGATACTGATTCCCTGAGAAAGCTCTCCAGGAAATCTCATGGTGCAGTTCATTGTCTGGAAAGGTGTGGCAGGGGGATAAGGTGGCAAGACAAGGACAGAGGCTAAACCTGTATGAAAACATCTGCTTTTGGAAGTTTTATTTGAGAGTCTGTCAATATTTTATGTAACAATGAACAAAATTAAATTTTAGAACAATTATCCCTAAAAAGCATAAGCAAAATGAATCCCACAAATCTCTCTACATGTCAACTGCATGGCCTGGCCACACATACTCATAGTAAGTACCAGGTCACAACATCATTGTGTCTGTTGATAATCATAGTCTAATGTTTTGTAACCTAGACTGATAGTACAGATATTTTATCACTAATTCATACTCCTGTGGCTTTTCAGGTATGTGTCCTTTTCCTGTAAGGGGATAAGCAACGTGTAATAAGTTATAAAAATTATGTTTTCCTTAATAAGATTTTTATATCTACATGTAAATGCTTACTTAATTAAAGTTATTTATTATTATTGTGCATGTGTGTGCATAAGATGTGTGTGCTGAGTGTGGGCACACAGATGCCACATCTCACATTTAGAGGTGTGAGGACAACTTTCAGGAGTCTATTGTTTCCTTCCACCATGAGTCCTGGAGATGGTCACAGGATGGCATGGCAAGAGCTTTTACCCCCAAACCATATCACCAGCCCTAACCCTAACACTGCCCCATAACTTCTTCTGCTATCCTTTGCATGTTTTGCTTGAATGTTTTCTATAGAATTAGGTTCTTTCAGTGCACTAAGAATGTTTGTATATATTTGGACCATTTCTGATCTTTTGAACTTGTTGTTGATAGCTGTGCATCTCTCTAATCTCACTTGAGTTTTGTGCATGTTGACTGGCTCATACTGAGTTCCTCATTTCTCTAGTTTCACTCTATTTGGTGAAGCCTTGTGCCACCTCCAGAGGCAGACCCCGTTCCAGATCCACTGGACAGTCACCACCTCATTGTTCTCTGACCGCATTTTCCTGCAAGTACAGACTCCAACGCTGTCAGGTGGCTTGAATGAGACTGCCTTCCTAACTCACTGCTAGGGCTTCAGCAAAGTACAGCTTCCTTTTATCTGCCTACAAAGTGGATTTTTAAGGATAACTGGTGCTTCATTTATCACTACCCACCTTAAAGGGATAGGGTTTGTGACCTTTAGTTCACAACCACAAAGCTAGTTCTGGGGCTGAAGAGCCTCATGTTCATATTCATCAAATCTTCCAGTGGGGTATAGTTAGAAAGAATCTCCATCGTTTAAGAGGAATGAGTTCGAAAGGCTTAGAAGGAGTAGGAGAGGGAAAAGAGGGGTGAGGGACACGGACTCAGAAAGGAAATGGATGGTAAAAGAGGCAGGGAAGAGAAGGGCGAGCTGGAGAGAGAAGGGACAAAGAAGGTGCTCACAAATCTCCAGCAATCCTGCTTACACGGGAGTGTTTGGGAAGGCAGAGGGGAGAAAGGAGTTTTTTAACATCACCTTTTCTGACTTTTGGCATAATTATATTGCATACTTCTTACAATTTTCTAACTAAAATATTCTTTTAATTTATTTTTATTTTATGTGTATTGCCTGCATATGTGTAAGTGCACTCGTGTGGTGAAATACCCACAGAAGACAGAAGGCATAGGGTCCCCTGGAACTGGAGTTATGGATGCTTATTAGCCACGCTTTGGGTGCTGGGATTTAAACCCCGTGTCTTCTGTAAGAGCAGCCAGCGCTCTTAACCTTTGAGCCATCTCTGCAGCCCCAAACAAAAGTATTCTTTTAAATGTTGGTGCTCACACACACAGGGGAGAGCGTACATGAATGTGCCTAGATACTTCTTGCCCATTCCTTGTGCAGTCTGCTTAATAGAACATCTCCCTCCGGCATTCTGCACTGCATGTCTTCTTTTGCTGCCAGTAGAATTCTGAAGACCAGCAGCCTTAAGTGTGTTGGGATGCAAGGACTGACTGAGGTGTAGGCGGAGAGAGTGGGGCTTCACACAGGAAACACAAATGAATATCTCTCCTCGAGAATGGGGTAAGGATGTGATTTAGTAGGAGGGGGAGTATAATCTGGTGCCCCATTTTTTTTATGGAAGTACTCTGCTCACAGGTGAGAACTCCCTCTCTCTGTCAAGTTGCAGCATTACTACAGGAAGTCTTTCCTGAACACCCATGACCCATGAGGAATTTGCCATCTCTATGATGCTTCCTTTGCCTTTCTGTTGAAAGCTTCATCTCTGTGGCTACATTTAATTCCCCAGAGCAGAGATACTCTCTAATATATTTTGTACCCTGATGCTTGATAAAGACCATTAAAAGTGTTTGTCAGAAGAACCCTCCTGCATCTCTGAGTGCACCTGAGGGATCCATGCAAACATGAGAGGATTTTACCAACCTAAGACAATTAAAGATGGCACAAGACTAAGGATCCTGGAGTTGGACAGCTAAGCCAGACGCTTCTCCCCTTCCAGTCTGGTCCTTAATGAGGAGCCTCAGAGTCACAGACCATGAGTCACACAGTCTGGACCTGACCTGTATGTTTCTTTCACAGATATTCACTCACTTTGCCTCAACTTCACTGTGAAAGGTGAGCCTGTACCTCGACAGCTCTGGTCTGAAGTACAGTGCTCAGTGAATGGAGTGCCATTCCTTCAGTATAGTGACAACAAAGCCAAGCCGTTGGGTGCCCTGGGAAAGAAGGTGAATGCCACCGAAGTATGGAAAGATTTGATCAAAAGATTGAAATACATGGGAGAAGAGTTTGAGAAGAAGCTACTTAACAGACAACTGAGAACTGTCAAGTTCAGGGGTAAGTATGGGTCGGAACACAAATGCAGAGAAGGTCAGCAAGACAGAAAAATGGCAGTGCACATATACTAAGGGGACTCTGAATGTATTTGTGTAAGCACTAAGCATTGTCCAGCCATGGAAACACACCGTATCTAACGGGTAATACAGGGAAAGTCAAGGAGTAAATAATACCTGCTTGTGGGGAAAGGCTTGATCTTTGGGAGATGTTGGATCTATCAAGAGTGGGGGATGATGGTTTCGGGTGTGGTTTGCAGGTTGCCCCCCCTTGCAGGCCAAGATGCTTTGTCGGCATGAACAAGGACAACTCATTGATGCCTACTGGCTGTTTACCATCAGTGGACAATATTCCTTCCTCTTTTACCCAATGAACTTGACCTGGATATTGATTAATCCTGAAGCCAAAGACACGATGCAGAAATGCAAGGATGACAAGGAGCTAGTAGATGATCTGGGTAAGATCTCCATGGGAGATTGTCCCCACTGGCTCAAGGACCTCTTAAAGCACCATAAGGAAACACCAGGTAGGCAGTTACCTGGGTTATCAGAGAGTAACCTCAGTAGGGTGGGAAAGATGTGGCAACTCTCTTTAAAGGTCTGATGACTTCCCCACATGGATGTCACCATGTGTGCATCATAGAACATTTGATAGAGTGAGTGAATGATTTCTTGGTGGTTTCCCTGTCTATAGAGCCAGTGATGATGTCAAGGATTTCTCACCATCCTCTTTCTCATCTCACATCTGAATGATTCTAATTCCCCTTTAACCGATGGCACGGGAACTTAATCATCTGCTAATGGGTCCCCAAGACTGTATGCATCATGTTAACTTCCAGACTTTTGCTCCTTGGGTATAGCTGTCCTTCCACCAGCCCCATTGTCCCTTCTATAAAGGCTTCAGGGCCTTCCCCTGACATGATTAAACACAACTAACTGTGCCAACCTTTAGAAAGTTCTAATGATAGAAAGTACGCCATGTTATATGAGAGTTGGGTGCTCATTTGCTTCCTTTGCTAGTGAAATGAACACTATAAGGACACAGAGCAGCCCCCATTCATCTCTCTACCTGGGACCTGGTAGAGTACTTATTACCCTCTGCTGCCTCGGGCAGAGCAGCTGCTGAAGAAGGTATGTTTTTAGTTTTGTCCAGGATTTTGCTTTTTGTTTGTTTTAGGACCAACATCCAAGTTCCCAAGTACTCCCCAACTTCTCTCTACCACTGAGCTTCCATCTATGATCTCGCTGCCACCTACCACTTGGCTTCCTTCTACGACCCAGCTACCATCTACCCCCTGGCTTTCTTCTACTGAAATAAGTGCCATCGTTGTAGCCTGCCTTCTGCCTGTCCTTGTCATTCTGGCGTTCGTGAAGAGATCCAGCATCATGAAAGGTGAGGAATAGGCTGGCCTCTGCCCCTTGGTGAGATCCTAGTCTGGGGAGGATTTCAAAGAGGAATCTCACTCATCTACCCAATCCACTGTCCACTATAGTGGCTATCCCTCCTCTGAAATGATACCTGTTTTTAGTCTTGAGCCTCCTACTTCACCCTTGTGTTGGGGATTATTGTTGTTGGGGTACAGGAGGCCAGCACAGTCAGCATACCTGTGCAGTCAGTCAGAGAAGCAACAAAACACAAGAGTCCTCCTAAGGTGAGACAGAATCCAATACCCAGAATTTTTTTTTAATTTTATGTGTATGAGTATTTTGCCTGCATGTATGCAAGTGCATCTGTGTCATGCAATGCCCATGGAGGCTAGAAGAGGGCGTTGGATCCCTTGGAACTAGAGCTAAGGACTATGTGGGTCTGGGGACCAAACCCCGGACCTCTGGAAGAGCTGCTAGTACTCTTAAACTCTGAGATGTCTCTCTAGCCACTACACCTGGAAAGTTTTAATGAGGTATTTTCTCCTCGGGATGTAACTCAAGATTCGACCAAGTCTTTGATTAAAGTCTCTTTGCTCTCTAAAGATAGCATGACCTAAGGCAGTAGACTCTAATGTCACAGAAACTGTTCCATCACCTGTTGCTTCTTCTCTGGATCATGACAGCTTTGTTAGACTAACCCTTAATGGCAAAAACTGCCCTTCTGAGGGTCTGGCTTCTAGTTCAGCACACTAACTTCTGCTCAGACACTGAGTGCCCAGGAAGTAAATATAACCTTTAAATTTAGACTTTAGGAACTTGGAATTTATGTCTATCAGTTGCCATTTTAAGACCTACAACAACTTTGTTTCTTGCTTTAATGTTTCCATTGCAGTAACTAGATACTTTAGTCAAAATATTATTGGTGCAATTAAAAAAAATTATGCGGTCAGTGGCAGGATGGCTCAGTGAGTAAAGGTACTTGTCCTGCAAGCCTGATGACTTGACCTGCGTTCAATACCCAGTGCCTAGGGTGGGAGAGAACCTACTCTCAGAAGAAGCATTCCCCTCCCCTACATACATTGTAATAAGTGAAGTTAAACATAAAATTCTGGTATAGTATTGGATGGATTTGGGAAAACATGCCTATAATCCTGACACTTGGGAGGGGAGGCATGAGGATCAGGAAGTCAAGTCATCTCTGATGACATAGTGAATTTGAAGCCAACAAGGACTATATGGGTCCCTGAAAAAAATAAATAAAATAATTCATTTTTATTATTATTACTATTCTGTCATGGGTATGTGTACATAGAAACACTTATTGAATTCACCTATGGCAAACATTATACATTAGTAGCTGTAGGTTTAGGACAGCCCTTAAGACTATTTAAGGAGCTGGCGTAGTCAAATCTACTTACAACCCCAGCACTAAGGAGGCTGGGGCAGGAAGATCGTGAGGTTCAAGGCTAGCCTAGGTTGCATAGTGAGATCCTTTAAAACAAACATCACCTCCACCACCAAAAATACTCTAAAGTTGACTCTTATCCTAGGTTATGCTTCAGTGACTATAGAACTATGATTCAAACATTTTTGTCCTTTAAAATTGAAATCACCTGTGTTTATGCAAGCAAAACTAATAACATTCTGTCCATTGTCAGTGATTTTTTTTCTATATATAATCCCAGAGGAAAAACACAAAATTATAATGACGACGTAATTTTATTTTGCTTTTTTTTTTTTTTAACAATCCTGGTAAGCATGGGGGGGTGAAAAGTTTTGAATCTATTATCAGTGAACATAAAGCTCTGTTTGGTTCATTTTTTTCCATTGCAGTTGATTTTTTTCTAAAATAAAATCCCAGGGAAAAAACACAAAATTATAAGGACGACTTAATTTTATTTTGCTTTTTTTTTTTTTAACAATCCTGGTAAGCATGGGGTGGTGAAAAGATTTGAATCTATTATCAGTGAACATAAAGCTCTGTTTGGTTTTGCTTTTTTAATAAGAATAATAGTTTGAAATATTTTGAAATAACATTTTTATTATATAAGAATTTAAAATCTGCTAGTATAATGGCTGACACCTACAGTCCCAGCACTGAGAAAGCTGAGGCCAGAAGAGTGCCACACGTTTGAAGTTACATTGTAACCTCAAGCCTGGGTTACATAGTAAATTCCAGGACAGCTTGGGCTACAGACTGAAACCCTGTCTCAAAAAAAAAAAAAAAAAATTAGGAGCTCCAGAGATGGCTAAAAGAGTTCACTGTTCTTGCAAAGGACTCAAGATCCATTCCTAGCACCTATATCAGGCAGCTTACAATTGCCTATTACTCCAGCTCCAGGGGTATCCAATACTTCTGGCCTCCAGGGGCATCTGTACACACATGCGCATCCACACCCACAGACACACACATACACATAATTTAAAATGTCTTTATAAATAAACAAAAGTAAAAAGATCAGCAAAACCATAAATGCAAATATATTTTTGTTGGAATTTCATCTTGATTTTTAGTCACAATCTCTTTTTAAACTTCACAACCTATCCCCATCTGAAGTCATATTACAGAAGTGCCTCGTGGCATAAAGGTCTGGAACAAATACAAAAATAGAAATTAAAAAACGGGACCAGCGAGATGGCTCAGTGGATAAAGGGGCTTGCCAAACAAGTCTGACAACCTAAGTTCAATCCCTGGACACCACATTATGAAAGGAAAGATCCTATACCAGAAAATAGTACTCTTATCTCTAGGCATGGATGCCATGATATGCAGGTACATGTCTGCACTTGCACAAACAAACACACATGATGATAGACAGATGATAGATAGATAGATAGATAGATAGATAGATAGATAGATAGATAGATAGATGATAGATGATAGATAATAGACAGATAATAGATAGATGATGATGATAGATGAGAGATGAGAGATCAGATAGATAGATAGATAGATAGATAGATAGATAGATAGATAGATAGATAGATAGATAGATAGATAGATAGATAGATAGATAGATAGATAGATAGATAGATAGATAGATAGATAGATAGATAGATAGATAGATAGATAGATAGATAGATAGATAGATAGATAGATAGATAGATAGATAGATAGATGGAGGGATGATGGATGGATGGAGATAGATGATAGACAGATAATAGATAGATGATGATGATAGATGATAGATGAGAGATCAGATAGATAGATAGATAGATAGATAGATAGATAGATAAGGTAGATAGAAAAATAGATAATGAGTAGAGTAGATAATGGATGATATAGATTGATGATGGTTATGTAGAGAGATAATAGATAAACAGATATATGATAGACAGATTAGATTGATGGGTGGATGGATGGATAGATAGATAGATGATATCGACAGATAGATACATAGACACATAGATAGATACATAGAGAGATACATAGATAGATAGATAATGATAGATAGATAGATGATGGATGATAGATAGATAGACGATAGATAGATGATTAATGATAGATAGATAGATAGATAGATGAGAGATAGATGAGAGATTAGGTAGATGATCAGATAGATGATAGATAGATAGATAGATAGATAGATAGATAGATAGATAGATGATAGATAGATAGATAGATAGATAGATAGATAGATAGATGATAGATAAGCACTGTGAAAATGAGTTGCATGATCTACAAAAGGTGAAGGAGTGTCTGAGGAGTGAAGATGCTGAACTCTCAGGAAGTCAGTGTAATTGATGTCCTTTCTATCAATAGGTAATTCTCGATGCTACTCCTCTACCTCCTCATCTGTGCTCTGGTCTCATCATCATCACCAACTGTGTCTGGAAACTCTCTAGAATATTGCCAAGCTCTTCTTCATTAAACTAGCAAAAATACTTCTGATGACATCTTGGGACTCTGTGCCATTTGACTTCTGACCAAAGTGGGATCCCTGAAGAGGAGGACACCTAACACTATGATGGTGATGACTCCCACCAACCTCTCATCAGACTACCCGGTATTCCTGTCAACAGACCAACAGACAGAGAACCCCTGACTGTTACCAGGGCTTCAACCCAGTCTCCATTGCTAACAGCCTGATTGAATGTCTGACTGTCCAATCATCCACAGATCCATCCAGTTCAGGTCCTGCACCTCTCCTCCCTGGTCCTGTGCTCCTACAGTTTATCTCTGAGTACCACTGAACCCTGAGGTCTGGGCAGTTTTCCGATTAGCTAGCCTAATATTTTATCTAACCACCTGTAGTGATTCTCTTCACATCTGCATCAGCTGTCTACCTGTGCCTCGGCCTCCAGCGAGGCCTTGTTGATCTCTTCTGGAGACTCTTTCACCCTTGGTAACCATTATGTTTGTCTGTTATAAAAGTATAATCACTATGTGATGTATAATGTGTGATCTGAGAGTTGATATTAGTAATAAGGGTTGGAATGAAATAGTCTGTGTATGCTAATGGCCAGCGATCCATGGCAATTGGGACTATTTGGCATAATGCAGCCAGTGAAACTGGCTGTTATTCAATAAATTCTAACTTTGTGCAAAGACACAAATAGGTCCACATATGTTTCTGGCATAGCCCTCAGGGCAAGATTCCATTCATTAAAGAAAGAATCCACTGAGTATACAGGCCAATGGCAAAGTAATTAGAAGTATATAACATATTGTCACTCAAATTAAACCATTCATGATATAGATAAAATTCAACACTCCTACCAAAAGACTCATGAACAAAGACTAAGTTCCACTAACCCAAGGCCTGGCTTACCACAGTATAATTTTATACTGCTCAGAGTGATACCTGACCAAGCAGATTAAGGCTCAAAGATAGGAGGACTGTGAAGACATATTGCCAACACTGAGAAGGGTCCCAACTCATGAGGAATTGGTTAGGGAAAATAAGCAATAAAGCCAAAAAAATAATCAAATTCAAATAATACATATAGGATTACTCATCTGTAACATGGACTGTAGAATTGTATTATACCAAGAAACTATTTGAGAAATTGTATTATACCAAGAAACTATAAAGAAAACTATATGGAAAAATGTTCACTCTTAAGAGAAAGATAACAGACTAAGGAAAAAGACATCCTGAAGTGGTGCCAGCCTCTAGGGATTCACAGTGCCCTACAGAGCAAAAGGTTAGAAAAATGTAACAGAACAGTCCTGGTTGATATTTTCATGCCAGGAACTACAAGATGGTCAAGGCACAGGGGTGAATTAACCTCTTTTTCTTAAGGGCATTTGGGGTTCCTTAGAAGGTACTTAGAAAGAAAGACCTGTAAGACTTTTAGGAGCACCTCGGCTTCTTCAGGTCCCTCTACCAGTGTGTGACCTGCTGTAGTGAGTCCTGGTCTGATAGACCATGTGGCTTCCTTTGGAAACTCTGAGGACAATTGTGTAGTTTTGCAAACTGAATTTTCTAGATAACAGCTTTGTGTCCCAAGGTCAAAATTTAGACACATTTCATGGATAAAGTTTGGCAAAAACAGATTTTTAAATCAATCGTCGACCTCATAAAACTCATTTCTAAAAAATAAGAAGCCCAACAAACTCAATAAAAATCACATACATTTATCTTGATAAAACTTAAAATTTTGTTCCTTAAGCAAGTTTTTTTTTTTTTCACACCCAGACCATTTTTATGTTAGCTTTCACAACTCTCACGATACTGTCACTGTCTGGTTCTATCCTAATCACTCTCTACTTTTCAGTCCTTCACTTTGGGACAAAACTCATTTCCCATATGACATCCTTTCTTATCAAAAAGTCATTTCTTTTCATCAGAAATCTGTTTATACCTGAAACTTTTGATATCTCTCTCTCACTTTACCTGCTTCCTTCTGTCTTTCTTTTGTAAAGTTCTTGAGCTAATTTAGGCTTTTTTTTTTCTTAAAGCTCAGATACAGGGCACAGCTGATCCTCTTCTGTCTTTTATAAAATACATTTAGCAAAAGGATGGCATTTAAATTAAATCATTATTGGTTATTTTTATATTTTAACACCTAACTTAAATTATATAATGATATTGTTTTATGATGTAAATTAACTTTTTGCCCCACTAATTTAAAGCAATGAATTTGTTAGATGTCTTTCATTTGGTGAATTAAAAGGAATTTGGACTTTGCTTCCATGTCCTCCTTCACTTATAAGCCAATTTGAATTAAACCCCTTAGGGAAGGACTTTATCACATGAACATACCACATAACATATATCTAAAGGTGGATAATGAGCAAGCCAGGAATGGTGGCATACACCTTTAATCACAGCATTCAGGAGGCAGAGGCAGGCAGATCTCTGTGAGATCAAGACCAGCCTGGTCTACATGGTAAGTTCCAAATCTGCTGGGGCTACAGAAAGACGCTGTCTCAAAAAGGCAAAAAAAAAAAAGTGGATAACAAATATTTCAAATGAAAAGCACAGGTTAACAGCTGAACCAGCAAACAAAATGGCACAAAACAATGAACTACATGTACGAACTAAAGTTCCCGTAAGAAGCTACAACTACAAGGGCTGATTGAGTGAAACTTCAGTGATGTGAGAGTTTGGAATGTTCCAGTCCAGAGACAAATTTACTTGAGCCATCCTTAGCCCTCTTAGTAGCCATTTATTGCCCACTTCTGTATGTGACCGAGCATTCTTATAACCCTTAGGTAAATCTTTTGGAATGTAGGAACAGATCCCTACTTGCCACAAACCCAAAAGCTAAGAATGTCATCAGATTGCATCTGAGGCCTATAACAGAGATCTCCCCGCTTTCCTGTAACCTGCCTACCTGATGTAACTACCAATGTATTTGAAAAGTCTATTGATTTATGATGGGTTTTTTTGGGTTTGTTTTTTTTTTTTTTTGGTCTTTTTGAGTCAGGGTCTTCCTGTAGTCCCAGCTGTCCTGGAACTCACTATGTAGACCAGGCTGGCTTTGAACTCACAGAGATCTGCCTGCCTCCCAAGAGCTGGGATTAAAGGTGTGCACCACCACACCCGGGTGACATTTTTGTTCAGTTACTATTTAAAAATTCAGGGAGACCCTGTCTCAAAAAGCCCAAAGGGTGTGGGGGTGCACAATAAAAATTCATGAAATTGCAGTCGAATGTAACATAAAACTTTGGGATAATCTAAATCTATAGTCACTATGGTAACTTGGCCATGGTTACTCATATTTGGCTTGGGGACAAAATACCCCCAAGACATGGGGGTGAAAGTGTTTCCCAGACCAGACATCATCATCCCTTCCAAGGCTCAAGAAATAAATGCTTCAGAAGTGGGAGAAAGGATGCAAGGGCAAGAAGGGCCAGATGATGGGAAATGCTGTATTCCAGCCACAACACATCACAGCTGGTGCACTGCTGAACTCTCAGCAGCTCTGAGAACTTGCAGTGGACCTGCACAAGACTGGGTCTGTCAGCATTCCTTCATGAAAGGCAAAGGGCTCCTGAGGTGCCACCCCTACCTGAGATCTGTCTGCAGTTAATGGTGACTGGAGGAGCGAGAGACACTTTATTTTCTTCAGTAGAGTTGCTACTGGTAAGTTGCCTGTGGGTCTGTAAACAACCTCTCACCCATGTGCCTATATGTTACCATAGTTAAACTCACTGTGTGTCTCTCTCTCTGTCTCTGTCTCTGTCTCTCTTTCTGTCTCTCTCTCTCTCTCTCTCTCTCTCTCTCTCTGTCTCTCTCTCTCTCTCTCTCTCTCTCTCTCTCTCTCTCTCTCTCTCTCTCTCTCTCTCTCTCTCTCCCTCACACACACACACACACAACACACATGAAAGTAGAAGGCAGACTAACTGGAAGTGAAAAGGGTGATGGAAGAGGGAAGGAGGCAGGAAAGGGTAATGGAGGGATTAATATATCCAAAATTATATACGTATGAAAGTTTGTCATAGTGAAATCAACTTTTACGTATCATTAATGATAATAAATTTCCTATAAACAGAATCAATGCTTTAATATTATTAAATTTGCATAGCAGACTGTATAGCAAACTTCTTAATGAAGTTAGATTATCCAGTAGAAAAAAAGAAGATACATTGTTTTAATGGCCAATTATGACACCATTTGTAGGAATTTACTACAGATGCTTGGTGAAAGGGATTCAAAAACTCCTAACAAAAATGGCAGGGATTATAAGTTGGCTAACGAAATGGTTAAAATATGAAAAGAATTTTAAAGAGGACCACTGCTTTCAGCTCTGTTAACATATTACTGCGGCTTTGAGGAAAGTCTTCCTCTCTGGCCTCCTATTCTCTAGTCTGAAAAGACAGTACCCTGTGACTTTCTTCACCTTCCAGGGACTGCACAGTTGTAAAGGCAATTTGAGATCATTTTGACTCTAGGCAAGGACTTCAGCTCAGTAGCTGAACCAACTTTGGAGTCAGTGGTTGTGGCTGAATCATAATTCAGATGAGCCATTCTGTCTCTGCCTTGGAAGCCATGGAAGGCAACAGACTGAGAGAAAACCCACTGGCCCGAAGCTCCTGACGGGAGCATTTCTTGGTTGATGACACCTGAGGAGCTTCTCTCTGAAAAGGTATTTGCTGTGATTCTAGAGGGGATATGAACCCTTAAACTCATTGCCAGAGATTCCTTTTGTGAGACAGGCACTGTGTTTCAAAAACAGCAATTTGAGTGTCTTCATGTGGGTGAGGCCTCCTTCAGGCTTCCTGAAAACTCATCCTGTCCTACTGTCCTAGACTTAGAGCATCCCATGTTAGGTGGTACCTGCAAGGCCCTAAGAGCTTGGACCCCATGAGCTCTGGTGGTGTGTCACACATAGTTCAACCCTGGACCCTGTGCACAGGTTTGAATTCATGGTTCTCACTCGCACATGCCACCACTAGGCTTTCTTCTCAACAAAGAGTTTCTGATGAAGCCAGACTCCTAAAGACTGGATTAAGAGCAAAATCTAAAATATCCCAGAATCTAAGAGCTTGCAGGAAAAGGTAATAGATAAGGACAGTTCCTGATGAGCATCCCAAGACAGACAAGACAGAGAAAATGGAAGTCATCCTCCAGAAAGAGATGGAAACCCACAACTTCTGAATCCTACCCTGTGTTCTGTGGTCTCAGAACAGTCATCTGGAGCAATATAAAGTATATTCACTATATTCCTAGAGAGTATCTTTTACAAAGCCACCAACTGTTCAGCCAAAGCTCTCTGACACTATTCTACTGTGTCTGGTGATACAGACCATATGATTGCACTAAACCTATTAGATCATAAGGAAAATGATATTGTGTCAGACACTTTTCCTAGGAAAATGCAATACACCCACACACTCACCCACACACACTTCTACTCACCCCAGAAGAATCCACAATAGACCAGAATAATGAATGCACCAAAGTACAACTTGTTGAACCATTGAGTTTTTATCAATACT